CAGTACCTAGGTAAGGACTACTGGTTAATCAGAAGCAGTAGGGCGGTCCTGAGGAGCAAGGTAGTGTGATCCAAAACAAAGCCGCTTTGGTAACCACATGGCTTCGGTCAGCCGTACGTGATCCGAAACACAGGCAGAACAACTCGAAGCAGCTTCGCAACCTAGACTGGAGCAAGACGTTCAGAGTGGTAAGCTATTCATTGTAATGCAGTTTATCCTTCATACGTAACGTTTTAATTGTGCACTCTGCGTGGTAGGGAGTGTGGGGCTGAGTGGGGAAAGCGGGGGACGTCGTTCCTGTGTGCGCTGCAGCAGAGTGTGTTTCTCCACCAGTGTTTTTGAGGGCGTGCCACACTAGCCGCTAGGCGCATTACTATGCGTGGTTACATAGTGGAGCAGAGGGTTACGAAAGTAAAGGCTGCTACAATTGAGCTGTTTTCAGGCAGTTCGGGAGCAGTGTTTTCTGCGTTAAATGGTATGTCCCTATGGGGTGGACTTTGGGCTTTTTCACTTTGCTCAGGGCTTTGATTCTGGTAGAGGGTCCATCCTCTGCGTCATCAAGCACGGCCTGCATTTCCGCTGGGTACATCCAATTGGTTTGATATCAGTCAGTAATTTCATTAGTGCAAAAGGAGCCAAGTAGAATTTGATTGAAATAAAAGTAATAATTGAGGTCACCGCGATAGCATCAGCAGATTCTTGTTTTTTTTAAATTTGATTTCCCTACATAAATAATTTCATTCAACTTAGTTCCACTCCATGGTTTCCCTAGTCTCCGCGCATCCCTGCAGTGACTCTATGCCCCAGTTTGAGTACCACTACTCTAGAGGACAGCCTACTGTATGACACTGTTAAAGCTGCAATCCGTGTGCCTGAGGATCACAGGCATCAGTTAAGAGGCCACAAGAAAAGTTTGACCCAAACCTGTGTAGAGTTTGCTAGGGACAGGGAAAGCTTATTTGACAAAAGGTGTAGGCCTACTGCTTGTAAAGTTGAGGAATTTGCTTATCTCCGTGGACTTCCCCGTGCTGGCTATATAAGCTAATTCCGGGAGCGTTTGCATCGTGGCCGATTTTTCGCAAGGGAGGCGCTTACTAGTTACCAACCTGAAATGGAACGCTAGCCCCATCATTCGCCTGTTGTCGGACATGTCCAAGTTGCAGACAAAGCGTTGGCTCCGTGGCCTATTCCCAGTTCTGCTCTCTCTGCTGGGCTTTTCCGGTCCGTACGATGAGCGTCAACAGTGTGGCAAGACAGACGATGTAATCAGTACCCCTAATAGGATGCCAGAAAACACGTGGTCTGTCACATCAATATGCTGAAACTGTGTGTAACACCCATGATGATTCCTCTAGCCCGGCAGTGAGAAACGGACGCGGCAATGCGTGAGTTTGTGTGGCGTGCGTCAGCTGTTTCTGTAGTGTAGTGGTTATCACGTTCGCCTACACGCGAAAGGTCCCCAGTTCGAAACTGGGCAGAAAACATTCTCTTTGGGCTCTTCTCTCAGTATTAAGAGTCATATTATGCTCATTTTCCGGTTCATATTTGTATTTAGGGGTGGTACCGGAATAGGTTTACATGGTTTCATTTTCAAAAACACCATCTTTTTGTCGTACTGCACATTGCTGCAGCATCACTTTTCACCCCTGGAAATTGAACGCTTTTAGCTACCGAGTGAGGCATTCATTCCGTAAGATCGTTGTTGGGAGTTGCATGCGCAGTACCTAGGTAAGGACTACTGGTTAATCAGAAGCAGAGTAGGGCGGGTCCTGAGGAGCAAGGTAGTGTGATCCAAAACAAAGCCGCTTTGGTAACCACATGGCTTCGGTTCAGCCGTACGTGATCCCGAAACACAGGCAGAACAACTCGAAGCAGCTTCGCAACCTAGACTGGAGCAAGACGTTTCAGAGTGGTAAGCTATTCATTTGTAATGCAGTTTATCCTTCATACGTAACGTTTTAATTGTGCACTCTGCGCGGTAGGGAGTGTGGGGCTGAGTGGGGAAAGCGGGCGGAGTCTTGTTCCTGTGTGCGCTGCAGCAGAGTGTGTTTCTCCACCAGTGTTTTGAGGGCGTGCCACACTAGCCGCTAGGCGAGCATTACTATGCGTGTTACATAGTGGAGCAGATGGGTTACGAAAGTAAAGGCTGCACTACAATTGAGCTGTTTTCAGGCAGTTCGGGAGCAGTGTTTTCTGCGTTAAATGGTATGTCCCTATGGGGTGGACTTGGGCTTTTTCACTTTGCTCAGGCTTTGACTTCTGGTAGAGGGTCCATCCTCTGCGTCATCAGCACGGCCTGCATTTCCGCTGGTCTACATCCCAATTGGTTTGATATCAGTCAGTACATTTCATTAGTGCAAAAGGAGCCAAGTAGAATTTGATTGAAATAAAAGTAATAATGAGGTCACCGCGATAGCATCAGCAG